CACATGATTAAACTGAGTAACATTCTTTCTTTGCATGACCTAAATCTAGTTCCGCCAATTGTCTATTTTTTATAATTGATTGTAGCGTAAGGTTGCCGTGGGTATAATCAAGTCAAACTCGATCGGCTGAGTTAATTTACGCGTGTTCTCGATTGGGTTAAAAAAATCAATCTATAATCAAATGCTTCACAATTAAAGGGGATGAGTGCCGAGATTGCCGGCAGAACTTGGCAATGGACCAATGGTCTATCAATCTGGAAAGTTGATTATTACTCCCGCAGAGCTCTGAAGGGCAATTGAAGGTCTCCACTCTCCAGTTAATTTGTAGCTTGAACATCGTAGGATAGTCCTACAAATGGATTTGAAAGCAATCAGTGGTGGAGGGAGAGTATAACCGTGTGGATTCTGGGACCCATCCTAGCTCAAGAGGAAAATAATTAAATTAGATACAGTAACTAAATGATACTATGTATTTTTTTTAAGTGGACCCACTTTAATTGAAATCTCGATCACGCCTCTGAAACAACATTATCCATTTTACAACCGACACTTCATCCATCGCATCAGCATGCGAGTTTTGTACTCCATTTCCATAACCTTTTGTCAAGAGAGTGGCAGTATGTGTGGCGGTCGGTTACCGGTAACCGATCGGTCGATTATCGATTAACCGAAAGGCCGGTTCGCCAACCGACAACCGACCAAAATAGGCTTTGATTTTCTTGGTTATCTCGATTATCGGTTAACCGCACCACATTCAAAACCAAAACCATATCGTACAGCCTCCGATAACCGACCGAATTTTGGTTATATCGGTTACTAATTAGTGGTAACCAGTAACCGAACCTCCACCCCTAAGTGAGAGGTTAGCATCTCCCATGTGTTTAGGGAGGAGAATCGTTAAGTAGGATGCTATTATATTGGATCGTGTATGACATTATGTAAATCTATTAGGGGTGACAAACGGTTAGTCGGTAATCGATTTATCGATTTACCGAACTGGTAACCGATAAACCGGTTACGGACGGTATCGGTAGTCGAATGAGAATGTGGGATGTTCGGTATACTGCCCCATTAACGATAAATACCGACGGTTAATCGGTAATACCGATACTGGGGGACGACCAGTATGCCGCGTTTTACACCCACCAAACCAAACCCTAAAATCCCTAAATCGAAACCGAGCCTCTCGCCCTCTCCTTCTCCTCTTCTTGTGTCTCCACCAGGCAGCCCCAAAATCGAAAGTCGAAGAAACCCAGCCCAGAACAGAGACGGTGGCGTCGACTCATCCTTCCCTTCGCCGCGCGCCTCCTCTTTTCGTCGACCGTCGCGCTTCCATGTCGTCTGCTTCCTCCTTCCCTGTCCGTCATCACTTTGCTCTACGAATGCGAAGCCGCGACTCCCCCTTCCGGCTTCTTCCTTCCCTCCGTGTCTGCTTCCTCCGCGACGTCGCTGCCGCCTTCCCTTGCTCCTTCCCTCCGCGACACCGTTGTCGTGGTCCGTGGCGGTTTCGAAACACGTTTCACCCTCTCCTCGCGGTAAATCGGTAAAAACCGATTTGTAACCGTTTATCGAGTATTCGGTAACTGGTAACGCGGTAACGATATTCGATCCCTTCCACGGCGTGCTCGACATACCAATTACCGGGTCGGTCGGTAACCGCTTTATCGATTACTGACCGAATACCACTCCTAAAATCTACGCGCCCGGTGTGTTATGCTATGAGATAGTGGCGCATTGCACGAGTTTTCAATATATATATATATATAGTGGCTACTTCGGTGCACTCACTTTTTGGGTGCACTCAGTGCACCCATCTCTAAAAGTGTCAATAACACATCAAATGTTGAACTTTAATGAGTACTCTCAATCTAATATGATGATATGCCATAGAATCATAACAAATCAATCTATTACTCTAACCCTTTAACCTTCAATTTTGAATCCCAATGCAAAATCCCAAACTGTAAACCTAAACCCTAACCCTAAACCCCTAAATCCTAAATCCTACAAATTAAAGTAAATTTTAAATGATTTTTTTTCAAATTCACGTGCTTCTTGTTCATAATATCATAAGCAACAATTGATACCGTTTTGACATGAATCGCATGCTCAGAATGATAATTATGAGGCGGGTGCACTGAGTACACCCAAAAAAGTGGGTGCGCCGAATACGCCACCATATATATATATATATATATATATATATATATATATATATATATATATATATATTATTAAAAAAAAGGTTGAGAACCGACGGCACTCGCATGCATGCAGGTGTCATTCACATAGAACAATCAAGTTATTTAAGTATTATTGGAATCGACAAAGTTTATTATTATAATTTGAAAGACGGCATAACCTTTGCCCAAGGAACTGGTAAATGCTGGTAGGTATGATCGATATATATGTTTCGTCAAGGAAATTATCTATTGCACGACAACAAGAATAAGACGTGCGGTTTCGTGTGAATTTGACATCTAGTCTAGTTTTAAAAGCAGAGCTACAATTGCAATTATATGTTAAAACATATTTTAATTAACTTGATAATCTCACAATTAGGTCAATTACGTACGGTAAGTATTTGTACATGACAACAGGTCATTGTTTAATCAGCTCAAAATGGTTGGTGATTGACCCAGTTACGAGTAGGCGGAAGTTTCTTCCGTTTCCATGCAAGTTAGTGAATGGATGTCCTATAATTACAAAAGTGAATTAATCCATGCAAGTATTCCCTATAGTTGGCAAAAAATAGTGGCTTCGCCCGGGTTCGAACCAGAGACCTTCAGTGTGTTAGCCCGGGTTCGAACCGGAGACCTTCAGTGTGTTAGACTGACGTGATAACCAGCTACACCACGAAACCAACTGATGTACACAAATAATTCTGCCGCCTATCTCAACTGCGATTGTACCGCAATGATAAACCATCTCACAGCAGGGGAAGAGGAAACCGCTATAGTATTTCTAACACACATTTTATTTGGTCAAGTGTTATTGCAATTTCCAACGAATTAGCATTTTGTGTTTATCACACACAGTACAATAAAGGAGATGTTAGACTACATAGATTGAGAATCTACAGCTACAATCAAACGGGAGGAAGATTTAGCAAAGCTAATGCAGTATTTGAGAGGGTTACATCATGACGATCAAATTGGACAATAAAAGAAAGCTTTAGCAAACCTTTCGGGACCATTGAACGAATTATCGTCATTTAATCTTATTTACTTACTATTATTGAATTATTTTATCAACACGTTAACATAATTAAATATTTAACATTTGTCTACCAAAAAATATCGTGATGAATTAAAATCTAGATATTTAACCATTAGAACAATCTGAGAATTTTTTCGTCAACTATAAGTCAATGAATTTTTCTTCCTTTCAGGGTTTTGAAAAGGTGCCCATATAAACCTTCTTTGGTGCCCTGCACGCACCTCTATACAATGAAATTGGTCTTTCGTATTTGTGACTAGTTAACCCATATTGTATTAGTCAACCATATAAATTTATGTGTATTATTTTTATTTACATAGTCAATTTCCCGTTATATATTCCATTTGTAAAATAAATCAATTAATTTGCTTGAAACCAACATATATCCAATGAAGTAGCAATTACAGTACATTGGTGCTATTGCTGAGGCCTGAGGGTACTATTATAAGAAAAGGAAACCTAGTAAATGGGCCCATCTAGTGGGCTTCATCATTGCATCACAGCAATGAGCGGCAGGCAATCCCTATGATTCCTATTAAGGCCCATCTTAGGCCTACACAGGTTAAGTGCTGTTAAGTAATGGGCCATGACAGGCATTAGCTGCATTTTGTGTTTATATCCGGATTATCAATCCACTAATTTTGTTACAAACAATTAAACCTAAACAGTAGTGGCAGAAATGATACGTTCTGGGACGATGCATGTCCCACATAATAATAACACTAATATTATTCGTAATGATCTTAAAAAGAAACAAAGGGTGGAGACAGATCAAACACACATCCTCTTTACAGGAATCAAACCCATCAGCAGTGGAAGAAAGCCTAGCTCCCTCGTCAAGAATTCCCTGTAATTATAAATAAAGTTGGTAAAAGATTGTTGTTGTTGTTTGTATTTCATGACAACATTTTTAAAAAATCAACGATTTAACTGATTCTCTATCCAACCATTTAAAAATCATTCAAATAGTTGCTAACCATCCAAACAAATATACCGACCTACCATAATAATTTATCGACGGCAATTTGACCGGTCAGATCGGTCAGTCTGGTTCTTATAACAAGGGGAAAAAAACTTTGTGGTGGCGTTTGCAATGTGCCACTGTGGCGTTTATCGTTTGATTTTCCCAACCAGCCAGTTGGGATTTTGGATGGTCTATCTCCGTTGTTTTCAAGCTCTGCCTCTTCCCTCCCCCTTTGTCATAAATCATAATGATAATATGACATATTATGATCTTTGTTTTTTTGCCCCCACTTATAGTTTAAACTATTATTATTATTATCACAGGTGGTGGGTTGGTTTTCCCATCTTTACAAGTAACCATCACAAAAGCATCCACCCACTTACAACAAATCCTCATTAAACTAATTTTATTTCCACTCAGATATTTTTACCCAATACAAGCCAAATACACCATCGAATAATAGAAGAATCAATCAAGGCATCATCCCCTCCATTATTATTCAAACCTGCCGGCTTCTGCAGATGGAAACTATAAAAAAAAAACAAGAAAGAACCCATAAATCTCCTGTTTCTTGCGTGAAAGATACCAAATTCATTTCTCAAATGCCCCATGCCTTGCGGCACAAGCAAAGATACATACACATAATGTATAACCTTGGTTTGATTTTGCAGTTGTCCCTCTTTTAAAATCAATCCGACTATGGTGCTTAGAAGGTTTCGGGGGAATGCTGTCACGGTGGTAAAATGCAATCGCGTCCATCCAATGATTACGTAACAACTATCCTCGATCCAAAGGGATGCGGAATCTTATAACGAGACTGGAAAGGAATTGATACACTATGCATATATATATTTTTTTCACATGAAAGTTTTTCAGATGTAACGGTGACTACATTGTAAGTAAAGTAAAACCCCCTCTAAATTTGAACAAGCGAGCAGCAAAATGAGGGGCAAAAACAACTACCAGGAAATAGGGGAAGAGTCGCCCTAGACAAACAGCAAATTCCAAAATCAGAGAAAGAGAGAATTAGGTCTGAAAACAAAAGTTACAGAAAGGAAAAGAGAAAAAAGTCAATCAATCCCATTAGGTGCGACGGCCGAAAGCTAACGCAACGAACAATTGGTGCGCCGAAAGGATTCCTTCTCCACCTTTTTTGATTTTCCTGCCCCTTGCTTCTTTCACGCATTTTGTCAAACAAGTTGGACGCGTTTTCGATGCTTCCGATTACCGCTTTCATCGACTCCACCGCCGTCAGCTGCTGGAGCCTGAGAATTGCCGGACCGAACAAGCCACCACCTGCGCCCACTGCCGCAGCCGCGTCTTCACCGTCTGAGGATTCTCCCCTGTACACACAAAACACCCCACCGATCCAATTCAATTCAATCCAATCCAATCATTTTCACGATGAACAAGCAAGAGAAACTGAAATTAGAATTCGTTAATTTTGAGTTGAATTATACCTGGGCCGAAGATGGCGCGGGCCGGGCTGCCGACGGGAGACGGCGAGTCCGGTTCGCAGTCGGATGACGCCGTGTGCGAAGACGGCGTCTCCGTGAACGACTTGGAGACGGAGTCGTTGTAGTGCTTGTTGACAGCGTAGTACAGCCCCAGCGCCGGCAGGGTGTTGGAGAGCCGACGATCGACCTCGGGGGAATCGAATCCGAATCCCAGCTCGATGCAAGCCTTGAGCTCGTCGACGTCCTCGTCCGTCACGCTCTTGCTACGGCGGTTCCTGCTGCTCTTCTTCCGCCTCAGCCACGCCTCGTCCCGGTATATGTCCGGCGACCAGGAGTGCTGCTTGTAGAGCGGCGCCGCCGCCCTCGCCAACGGGTGTTTGAACGACGGCGGCGGAGGCGGGAAGAACAGCGGCTGGTTGGATGGTGGGGGAGGAGGCGGCGGTGGGGGTGGAGGTGCGGAGGAGGAGGAGGGGTGGTGGTGGCGTGTCATGGCAGATCCCCGGCGGCGGAGGTCGGAGGACCTCGCGGCGGCGGCCGCCTGTGGGAGGAGAGAGGGTGGGGGAGAGCTTTGTTGGAGAGAGAAAGGAATGGAGTGGAGAGGGGCTTTTATTGGGGTGAGGTGGTGGAGTTTGTTGGGCCCACGACGGCCCGTGATACAATTGGGCTATTGGTTGGTCGGTTTGGGTTATGATGATGACCTGTCAAAAGGAGACAAACCGGCCGCTGTCCGCTGCGCCAATCGCAAATTCGCAATGCAACCTGGTGGAAATGCGAGGATTGAAAGGAATCAGCTCTGATTAGATAGGAAGAAGGAATTAGAAGAATCGAGCGAGCGGGAGAATTAGGGTTTCGATTTGAAGCTTCTCTGTCGATTCAATATCTGCCGGAGAACCACCCCGGAAAAGATGTGGCACGAGGCGAGGAGATCGGAACGGAAGGTCCACGATATGATGGACGCGGCTCGGAAGCGAGCGCAGCGGCGAGCGGTGTATTTAGCGAAGAGGAGAGGCGACCCGCAGCAATCGATTCAGGTCCTCGGCAATCGCTGCCGCATGTACCGCGACGATGGCCTCTACCAAGCCGCTGAGGATCAGCAGGGATTGTATGTTTCCGCTCCACTGATTCAAAGCTTCCCGTTCGTTTCCCTTTTCTGTTGGTTATGGAAAAATTTTGTGCCTCAACGCTGTGTCGCTTGTTGTTGAATGACGATCTCAGGATACCTTGGAACGGGAAGGACGATGTGCTGATTGACAGATTCGACGGCCGGGCGCTTCTCGATTTTATTAGGGAGGCCGGCTCTCGAAACTTCCGGCAGCCCGAGAAATCGGAAGAAGAGGAAGAACTGGAAGAGTTTGTTAGTTTTGAGCGTTATCGGGATTTAATTAAGCTTCGGCGTAGAGGATGTCGGTACTTTTTTGCTATTGTTCTGAACCATACTGTTTTTCTTTATTGCTTCTCGCATCCAATTCCAAGCTCTGGTGCTTTTGCTCGTTGCCCCGCACCAGCTGCTATCTACCTCTCGAGGAACTGCTTGGGACTAGGTTTTACAAGCTTGGGTTTCTGTGTGTTGTAACAGTGAATGATGAAGAGGGTTTGCGTCATGTGATGCAAGAGATGGAAGCCAAAGCGATTGCTCCATTTGTTTCCAACAGGTTACTCAAAAAACTTCTGGTTTGCTCTATTGAAGTTCTATGTCAACTTGAGTTGTTATATGCTATGTTCATCGTCTTGTTGTAGCATATATATGTTTGCTCAATAAGAATATCCATGTAGTGTATGTAAGAAACTAACTTTGTTTGATTGACAATATGTTTTGGGAGGTGGATGTTTGATTAAATTCACTGTTCAGTGAAGGATATATTTACTAAATGGATGAATAATGCATTTTCCTTTTTCGGATAATTAACGTTGTTAGTATTTTGCTGATGCAAGGGCGTGGGCTCATTTCATTTTTTTTTTTTTTTTGGTTTGATTGTCATTTGTGCATCAATGAAATGTTAAAGCCTCCTCCACTCCCCACTTGCTTTATATAGGTATCTGCATATTACACCCTGGCTTGTGGCAGTATGAGTAGAAATGACCTTCCTATCTAGATAGCTAATATATGTTTCTTGGAAAGGATGCGTTTGAAGAAAAAAGTTGTAGTATTTCAGAATGACCTTGTCTGGCTTAATGATATTAGAGTGCCATTTTCAAGGACGACACTGTGCTCAGCTATCCTCTCTTGCTCTGTGTTATGCCTGAATTGAGCTTCATTTATCATGTAGCATCTAGATCTTCACTGTATTCAAGCAGTAATTGTGAAATCTGTTGCTATCATAAATTGATGGGTTCTCTCAGCTTTTTCTTGGCTTAATTTTTGACTCAGTTGTCTTTGCTCTGTTTCATTGCCACAAATTCAGCAAATCTCAGCAGTCACAGCCTCCTGCTAACAAGGGTACATATTCACAAGTGGGGTTTTCTTATGGTGGAGACGGAAAAGAGGAGGAGAAGCTATCAGATGGTGATGATGATGAAGACGACGATGATGAGGATGAGGATGAAGAAGATGAGGACTTTAACAGTGATGACAGCGGTGATGAAGGGATTGATGTTATTGCAAAAGAATTTGGAGTTAAGAGGTTTGGTTGGCTTGTGTATATGGATAAAAAGGCGAAAGAAGAGGAGAAAAGGCAGAAGGAAGTTATTAAAGGCGATCCTGCAGTTGTAAGTTTTAGTAGTGTCCTGTCATCTTTGCTTCATTTATCTCTCAGACCTAACGCCAATGGTCGGAACTTCTGTGATTGCAGAAGAAGTTGAGTCGCAAGGAAAGAAGGAAAGCTTCTCAGGTAGAGAGGGAAAAAGAGAGGGAAGCTGCTAGAATCACTGGGACCAGATTGCTGCGTCATGATCCCTACCGGTAAGCTTTAGTTCTTAAATTTTATAGCCTTGGTTATGATTATAGGTTGTGTGATTTAGAGAAATGCTTGGTCGTATACTTGTGGTGATGGTTCTTTTACGGCTGTGTAGGGAATCTAGACGTAGTCCAACTTATGAAGCTTATTCTCGTTCCAGAAGGTATTCCTGCTCTTTCTAAGTGATTTGTGGTCCTTTCCACTGAAAGAGTTCCAATCATATTCTGATTCCTAACTTGCTGTTCTTTTCTATATTTGCAGATCAAGGTCGAGATCATACTCTCCATCACACTCTAGACGTCACAGCCGTGCTGGTCACTCTGACGATATTCATCGAAGCAAAGCTAAGAGTCCTAAGATAGAGTATATCACTGAATTTGGGGGCTCTGCTACTGCCGAAGAGCCGAAGTTTAAAGGATATTCTCCACCACCATCTCCATCCCGGACTGATTTGGTGAACCGGTCGGAGCACTTCGACCTTTTCAATTCTTGCAAAAAGATAGTTTCGACAGTCTTTAACTCTGCTGCAGTTTGACCATTTTGTTACCCGGGGGAAACTTCTGTTGGTTCAAAATTGACCAGGGCTGGGGGTTATCTGCAATTCTGCATAACTACCTGCCTGGGTGGAGGGCAGAAGCTTCCTTTCCTGAAGCTCATCATTTTCCCCCTTTACTTTTACTGGATATGATCAACTGATTTACATGGGAGCTGTGAACTAGGTTTATCTAAAGTTTCTGCTTTCCTGCAGGCCATCATCTGGTCGTATACTTGAGGCCCTTCATGTTGACCCAGCATCTGGTGTATCTCTTGACAAGGATAAAACTGCGAAAGAGTTGAAACCTTCTGCAAGGTATGTATGTATACGGCTAGATAGACAACTATTTTATGAACTTTTAAATATACTGTTGAGTAATTTTGCTGGTGTTTAGAGGCAGTTGGTTTAAAATATTTTCCCTATTTGTTTTAGTTTTCACCGAATCGGCTAATTTTCTTCTACTATAGCTGCAGCAGCTCCTCAGGGTTATCAAAACTAAGCAAGACAATTGTTTCTGGGGGAGCTGTAAAGCAGCAGGCAGGGGAGAAAAAGGAAACTCCGCAGGAGAGGCTTAAAAGGATTATGAACAAGCAGCTAAATAAACAAAGTATGTGTTGAAATGTCCATGTCCATGATCTTCTAGTTCAGCAATTCCTTGCATACATTAGGCCTCTGCTGAGTTAAGATTCAATTTCAATGATTAAACTGCCTTCATACCATGCATTTTCCCCCGATTTCACTATATTCCTTTTCCCCCATAAAGTGGCTTGTTTTGTTGCTAGAAATATTTGCCATTACATTTTATGCTATGTTTCTCCAGTTAAGAAGGATACCGTTGCTGAAATGGCTAAAAAGAAAGATCTAGAGCGGCAGAGGATGGAGAAACTAGCAGAAACAAGTCGGATTAGTCGTTATAGACGGCGTAGCCGCAGCAGGAGTTACAGCCGTTCTCCGCCAAGGTAAACATCGTGCTTAGCATTTAGCAGGTCGTTTGGCCAATGGATTTTTAGAATTGATCGATTTTGAGGAGTACATAGGTTTTCAGAAATAATAGATTCTGAAATTCATTGTTTGGTATGTGCAAGTATCAAAACTATCATTGCGTTATGATGTTTTCCCCCTTTAATTAGCGAGGGTAATCTAGTAAAGTGAACTAATGAATTTCCAAAGCCACGGGCTGGGCTGTGGTCAATCAATTATCAAACCCCCAAATCCATCCTTTTTCTTTATGATCAAACAATGGATCTGAAACAATGGATCAACTCATGGACTCTGCCTACCATCCATCAGCCAAACAACCTCTAAATTTACTTCTAATGTGTTGCTATTTTCAGCCGAAAGAACCGACACAGCAGAAGTCGAAGTAGGAGCAGGAGTTCACGGAGGCACCATTCGAGATCGCGCTCACGTTCACGCTCCCGGTCTCGTTCTCCGACCCATTCGCGGTCTCACTCTCGCTCTCCTAGGTGAAGAAACTGTCTTTTGTCTTCTGTGAATTCTGTTCTATTTTGTTCAGTTCATTTGATTGACTGCAATCCGTCCGACATTTGCAGAAGAAGGAGCAGATCAAGATACTAGTGGCTGGTAACCGAATGTTATGGTTGCAGGGGAAGAAGATAGGCTACCACGTCCAGTGTCGCTGCCATGTGCGTCTCCCCTGCTATTTTCTCTTATTATTGTGTTTTAATCTGACAAGAAGTTGCACTTCATCTCATGCATGAATGAGAAAGTATGAGCCTCTATATACGTCTGATTTTCACCTCTGATTCGGGAGAACCTTGTGATGCAAGGCAATGTGATTTTGTTAGCAATCAGCATCCTTTTATCAAAGGAGAAACCATCCACTGTTTAGGACTCGTGAATCGACTGTACGCAGTGAGTAGTTTGTCAACCTGCAAGCGACATGCTGAGCAGAATGGCGAGCAGGCCACTCAAGTTTTACCTATTGAAAGGAAGATAGTAAACTTTTTAAGTTGATGGATTGCTGAGCTAGAGATATTCAGCACACGCTTATTAAGCAAGGAAAAGTGAAGACGGGTATAATGTAGGGTTTTAAGTTTCCCGTTGAGCTTTGATGCAAGATCCTATAGTTATCTTTAATAGCAGTTTACCGCAAGGAGTACCATTCACTTTTTTCCCAAAACGTCATTTAGGCACTAAACCCTGTGGGAACCATTGAGAAGGTCTTAAACATTTAGATTCTAAATGGGCGTGAATAAGAATTATCATTTTTGTGCTTTTTAATTCGTTTGATTAGTTACCAAAAAATAGTAATGCATGTAGGACGAGATCAAATAGATATCATGTGACGTTTTATGAAATTCATGTTGTAGTCTAAAATTTAGGATCGATCTCCTCTTTTTATAACAGAATTTTTCTGATCTATAAGGAATCACTTGTTTGGTTTGTCCTAGTGAATTACTGGCATAAACTGGCTTTATTGATCAAATCGATCATAGTGAAATGTTGAGTCACTATATATGTATGCAACGCAACCTCTGGTGGATTATCGATCGTGAGCAGAAGGGAAGCATAAGTAAACGTAGTAGGAACCTATTAATAAGCATGATTTACATTATTAAGTAAGTCTAGCATTTGTTGCATGAGAGTTGACAAACAATGAGGGAAAACTACTGCTAATTTCAATCAATTGATACAATGTCTATCTACTTAATACTGACACATATTTTAATTGATTAGTATACCTCTTATTTATAGCTTTGTACCACTATCACGTGAAATTAAAGCAAAGAAATAAAAGGGAAAACTCGAAAAAAGAACCAAAAACATTGTGAAGGAAGTGCAGCTAGCAACGACATAGATCCTTCCAAACTTGAAAATGCAACAGGATAGTTGTAGGGCTGAAATAATATATATTCCTGATTAAAGAAGCTCCCTAGTAATCCAAATTTCTAACCTGCAAAAGGTTATTGAATAGAACATAGGATTAGTATACTTCTTGATTGGCTGGGTTGATGTAATATTGGGATGTTACTATCCATCCCGTTGTTGTGAACAATAATATATGTATAACAAATCAATGCTTTCGTATAACTGTATTTTCCCTTTAATTTTCTTGTCGGATGGGGATTCAAACTGGATGGATGTTTCAAGAAAGTACCAGTAGAAATCAAATTATCTTTCATCTTAGTAAATTAAGATGCAATCAAGGATATGGAATGGAAAGACGATTGATGAATTTTGTGAATATGCCTCATAGTTGAGGTCAGGATGTTAATTTCTGAAACCACATGCTAAAATTGATTATTAGGTGGCCAAAATAAGATATTAACCCTTATTTTTTTCCTTCTCCTTCTCTCTCCACTTGCACCCCAAATTATAGGCATACCAAAATAGTAGAACCCCCCACTTGCTCTCTCCTCCTTTTGTTCAAATTTATCCAAACAAATGCACATACATTGGGAACACCGTTTGCATCTCAACATTTGCACCCCACCCTTTGCACCTCTTCACAAACAGAGTGGAAATGAAACCATTCACAACTAGCACACAGTGGCACTCACTTTGGTTGGCTTTTATTTGGATTGATTGAAAAAGAAAAGAGTTCAAAAGAAAAGCAGAAAGCCCTTCTTCCTCGGTTGGGAAAATAGATAGGACAGTTTGAAAAATTGTGAACCAAATCAAAGTACATTGGTATGGACCATAGATCATCAAATATGAGTTGATTTGGTCCATGGTCCTGCATTATGAGCTGTTTTGATATCTTGATATGGTCTAGTATAGAATGCGGTTTACCGGATCAGAAAGTGGACCAAAGCTCAATTCCCAATTCGTATCAGTAGCCACTCACCAACTTTCCCTACTTCCTAACAAGACCCAAGTCTCAACCCTAATTATGCGAATCATGTCCCCTACTTCCTCCAAAGACCACACTCCGATAGAGAGCATAAATTATCATGTCCCTGTAAAGCATTATGTTAATGTTTATGACGTTGGTGCAAGTTGGGTTGCTTTGACTTTGTGTCTTAGGGATATTGGGGTGTAATTGAGGAATCCAATTTGAGTGAATCAGTGAAATTTTGCGGCCATTACCAATCTGCCATCGCAGGCCCTTGACTAATAACTGACGGCCATAAAGGATACTCTGCCATCTCCAATACGGACGAGACCGCGTAATGGCATGAGGAAAGTCCCGATCGGAAAATATTTCCCTTTGTATACCTGGGCGAGGAGCGAATGGGGTTCGTTAATGATATGTCATCTAATCTTGGCCAAGAGAGCCTGATTAAAATGTTTGAATCAGCAAAATCCCATTCCTCCATCGTGCTTACTCCGAGACATATTCAGCCAGGACATCCATCGTAACCGAGAATGACCCCCTTCAATACTCCACCAGAATCTGACCACGTGTCTGTTTGACAAAGATAGAGAGGAAGCTTGAAACAAGACATGACATGTAATGGTAGTGCCAAAAGCGACTGATTTAATCAATGTCTCCTTTGCTGCCCAAGAAAGTGTCCTTTGATTCCACCCCCTGAAGCCGCCCCAACAGCTTTGCCTCCAAAAATTGGAATGTAGCCATTTTTTATTGAGCTATCAGAGTGGGCAACCCTAGATATTTGTCATGGACCCCCACAACCCTGACTCCCAGAATCTGAGCAAGAAAATCTTGGCCCGACAGAGAAATATTTTTACTAAAGCATATTGCCGATTTAGCCAAGTTAACCCTTTGCCCATTGAGCTCCTCGTACTCGTTTAAAACCTCAATCAGATTCTCACATTCCTGCAGAGAACCTCTTGGGGAATAAATAAGTGTCATATGAAAAAAAAAACAGATGCGAAATCCGTGGAGCTTTAGGGGCAACTTTAACCCCTTCTAGCTTCCCTGCAGAAATGGCCATCCTAAGGAGCGCCGCGAACCCCTAAGTGAAAATCACAATCGGGAGAGGGGATAGCGGGTCCCCCTGACGGAAGCTCAAAATCCCTTATCGGGTTACCTAGTCACAAGCTTGTCAAACCGGTTTAAGTCATTGACCAGTCAAGCAAGAGGTTTGAGGGGTCAGACCGTGGGGCTTTCTGGAGACCGTTTTGAAGCCCGACTCAGATCGGACCGGGTTCAAATGGGGTTCGATAGGGGTTTAACAACCTTTCCTAGTCATAAGCGGTTAATAACCGACAGTTAGGGGTTAACTGATTAATAACCGATAAGAGTTGTTTTATTTTTAATCAACCATTTGAATGGTGCAACAATTAAAAAGATCATAATCCACCATAATTAATATTAAGAGCATATTAATATCTTAGTTAAGACAATGCTAATCATGATTATACAAGACTAAGCGTAGAATTATAATCAACATTCAAAGCATATTAATAAGCACATTAAAACAATAATAAAGGGTAATTCCCTAAAAATGGGATCAACTATAACCAAAAGCCATGCCCATTAATTAAATAAGTGCTCACTACCGTGGAAACGTAACATTACAGTTCATCCCTTTTGTATGATAAGTAATGGGAGAGGGATAAGAATCTAAGCTAATAGCCGTTTTCATGGCTGCAAAAATTTTAAAAAGTATGATTTTCCTCTCGCCTGTCAGTAAATAATACTACTTTTACAATGTAATTCTATGAATCAAATTCAAAATGGGGGCGAGAGGGAGGGAGAGAGATCATCCAAACGCTTGATTAAAGAAAGAACAACATTGTGGGAGAGGGAGAGGATTCGTTTGGGAAATAAAGTTGGGGACTGACTGTCAGGGGAGAATGAGTCATTAAAAGGAATTTTAAAATCTCTTATCGAGTTACCAAGTTATAAACGGTTAATAAACGACGTTTAGTGGTTGGTCAAATTCAAAAATCTAGCACCACGTTCTCTTTCAAGCGGGTAGGCGGTTAACCGCTAATCGCATCGATGGTTAACAGTTAACCGCTAAGTCTTGGCGGGTCGGCTAACAGTAATGATTTTTTGGTTGGCGGGTAACCGCTAACCGACCCGACTATCACCTCTACATTATACCCAAGGGCCTGCTTCGATCCCATTGAGAAGATTGTTTTACGAATTTCACTGGGAAGGATGTCCACCGTAAGACTAGTATTCATCTCAGCCATTACTTTGCGGGCTATCGGTAGATCTGCGATCCTCGCTTCCATGTTCAAAGCTTGATCCTCCGAAGTGAAGAGAGTTTGATAAAAATCATAGATGTTATTTTTGAAAAAAGCTTACGAATGAACATAATTTGATTTATGTTTGTAAATCTAGTAAGAGTAATAATGATAGATTTAGCACGATTGGCTGAATTGAGTATTTCCATAAAATACTAATAAAAAAGAATCCCATAGAGTAGGGTAAAAAGCGAAGTATTATTCAACCAAAACCTAATTCGGATTCCCTCCTATCAGTGTTTCACAAACCCTTCTCCCTCCCTTGCACCTTGGGATTCCCACGCATCCATCTAGTGTTCCCCTCCCCCAACACCCATAAAGTAGGGTAAAAAGCAAAGTATTATTCAACCAAAACCTAATTCGGTTTCCCTCCTACCAGTGTTTCACAAACCCTTCTCCCTCCCTTGCTCCCTTGAATTCCCACGCATCCATCTAGTGTTCCCCTCCCCCAACACCTTGCTCCCAGGAATTGTCACAATTTCCAGCGAGAGAAAAGTTTAAATATCTTGAGATGGCTACCATAGAGGCTGAAGATAGTGACTTGTCGAGCGAAAACTTGATATTGCATTTTTCGAAGATCGCTAAGTAATGACTTGGATAGTAAAGGTGCGAATGGACTTCTACTTCCAGAGAGTCTTGGAAAATGACAGGAAAATGAAAATTGATGATTGCAGAAATCTCGTTTTTCATCAAGGAAGTT